TGTTGAACGCAGCCTATAAAGTAAAATCACTATAAATTTTAAACTACACCGTTGCATAGTGCTTATTTTGAGAAGTCATGACCTGTGGAGTCAACGAGTCGGATGTGAAGTGGATGCCAGCTGAAGACTTTGGTAAACAGTCGCGCTATATTTCGAAATGACAGAAGTAGGAACTCACAAGCCATTGAACTCTGACCTAGTGACTGAATGGTTAAAGCTATCCTCATGAAACCTGAAGGCCATGAGTTCAATCCCTCTTGGTGCGGTGATTATGTACTGCTCAGGAACCCACACTAGGACGAGACAGTTGTCTAGTGACCATATGTTTTCAATGGTTCCCCAGTGGATGTCACTCCATGATAAATACCACTTCGAAGGCATATTTTTCTGAAATCTAGCAGAAAATTCCAGCAGTTCGTATTGAATTAACTTCACAAGACAGTGAACTTGAAAAAGTAAAAGGATAACAGAAGTAAATCAGACACATAGTTTAAGATACAAAAGATTTGTGCCATTATTCCCTAAATTCAGCAAGTTTTTCTTTGTGATAACCTTACTCCGGCAGATATAGCTTACTTAAGTAGTCCATGGCTTGGAGTGCACAACACTGACTGATCACAACAGAGAAACCGATCTCATGTTGCCTTCTCCTGAGTGTCGACCGAATTCTATGGATTATTTTGTAATATTGCCATTAAGTTAGGAGATTCACCATCGTGGTACACTTTGATAGATGCTAGTTAGTTGGTAACAATCGGCAAGAAGCCTCGCTTGACTTGGTGTCCCCTATAAGGTTCTAGTTCACATCATCCTCTTTTCCAATCAGCAGCATTACCAATGACCTATTTGAGGGACATCAGTCCCATCTAAATTGAGTATATTCCCTACTGATGAATGGCAACAAGCAAGAAATCTAGATCCAGGGCCTCTTATCCATTGTTTCCAACTAATTAGGATTTCTAAACCATCTTAATCAGCATCTTAAACAGTTTTCAGTCAGACATGATAATACATCAGTCGAAGTTGTCTCATTGAATGAAAAACACTTAACTCACGAAGAGCATATCAGCAAATAGTTAAGACTTTTCAATTAAATTGGATAGATGAGCTAAAATTGTATACCTAAAGCCTTTATAGCAAATTCTTCAAGCTAATAATACACACTTATAAATCTTTAAAAGGCTACGAGTCATCACAACATGTACCACAGTGCCTTGCGCTTATTTACTGTATGTGGTGATATTTATCTGCATGTATTAACTGTACAGACCCATACCGTCGAAATTCGAAGACCGTAGGAAAGAAGGAGTGTTCTAACTTTGTAGTCGACCTTTCCTAACCCACCTTCCTACCAGGAAGGCAGCATCAGGTGACACTGGTGGTCATCCAAGAGAACCAAGCAACTACTGACACGCCCTACCTAACCAGCAGTATGACTTTGCCCTTAGACTATAACGGTGACTGCTTTCCGTCTCCACTAACCTTCATTTTAAATTCCTTCTACTCCCATACACCTTTGTCTACTTTGATAACAGGATTTTTCTGTCCAATCGTTCTCTTTATGCTACTGTGAAGTGTGACAACTTAAGTCAACGTAGTTCTGTGCCAGGTTCTGTGTTGATTTTGTCTTCTTGTCTCTCTGTCTGTCTGTCTGTTTAAACTGTCTACTTTTTTTCCAGTGGCTTAGCTGTTTTTCTTGGTTTAAAATGAGTCTATAGCTAGGATTTGTGTAAAACTGTACGCATAGATGTGATTAGACATCAAGTGCAAGAACTAGTTAATATTTCTGCCAAAATAGTAGGACGCAATAAAAGCAGCTATTCACTGGATCCTTAGGGTGTTCAAATTCCGGTAGAATATACATGCATTGATTTCGGTAAGAAGATGCTTTATTTTTGTGTATCAATTCCCAGTCATATATGTCTCACTTATAGCCTCCCTCTAGAAGGTTTGCTGATTCTTATTTCAAACTGAATAAAAAGTTTTGCAACTCACCACACTGGAAATTTGATAGAACTCCAACCTTCATGCTTAAAATATGATAGAGATATAGAAAAGCACCTGAGATTTTTTTCATGTTATTTTTCACTCAATTATAGGCCCATGTATTCATCAAATATTTAGTGAAAACTGATATATCCTTAAGTTTGTTAGAGTGACCTTCAACGACACTAAAACTGTTACTCAACCAAGCCTGATAATTTACTAGTGTAACTCATTACATATTGCATCTATTTACATGCCAGGCTATCAACTATACCTATTGTTTTGGGTAAATAATATCACCTGACTGCCCAAAACTCATTGCATTCAACAAAGTTCGAACTCTTTGAACGGTGATTTGAATTCCTATGTTTAAACCAACATTCTAATACCTTACGCCAAATGAAATGCTGATATGAAAGTTTACTTATTAATAATTGAAAGTTTAGTTTACTCTAATTTAGTCTAAAAAATACTACTGATAAAAAGTGCTGGTATAAATGTCGTAGACATAAGAAAGGATCATTTTAAGAACTATGACAATATGACAGTAATATAACTATCAATGTAGTCTAAGGATTCAAAAACGTCAATTTTGATCAAATGTCAGCACATTTACTCAGCCAAGTGAGCTCAATACTTCGAAAAAAACTAATAGTTACACTATGGATCAGAATGGAATAGCTGGTAAGACAGCAAAATGTTATCACTTTTGAGAGAAGTTAACAAAAGGATGTGTTACGTTAAGGCACATGTCAACTAAGTAATATAGAATACCACGTGAAGATACATCACTAGAAGCCAAGACAGTTTACAAAGTTAAGAAAAAATTCAATAAACAAATCTTTATGAAAAATATAATCTATTTCTACCAGACACTACTGAAGAATATGAAAACTCTCATACATCATAGATAATCTTCTTTAGCCAGTGGGTTTGCATCTGCCCACTAACAGAAAATCTTAATCATGCACTGTATAATGAAAAGATATTGAAATTTTACAGTAGCGAGTATCTTTTGATAATATTAGCCATAAATGTCTCATGAAAAAGTTGAATTTAATGGGAATCAATTCATCCTTAATCGATTGACTATCATCATATTTGAGAGACTGCCTTCTGAATATCTGAATGAATTCCCCAGTGTCAGAAGAAATCAGGTTTTATTGTGCAGTTCCCCAGGCCTCCATCTAAAAGCTTCCCCTGTCGCTTATCAGCCTAAATGATTTGACCTTACAAGTGCCTTCAGAAATCCTTCTCTCTACTAATGACGTGTAGCAATAGAGAAAATTCAAAGATAAAAGCGACAGACTCATTTTGCTAGATTACTTAACCCAACTTCAACATTAGGCAAGTTACAATGGACTAGATTTAAGCTCTGAAAGGTGTAAAGTGATGCATATTCCGAACAGTAGCTGTTATATATTCAAACTAAACTACTGAAGGGATCTTTGGTAGGAGAGGATCTCACAATCTGAACATCCTTAAACATAAGATCTTGTGCTAACCATAACAAAAGTATGTTCCATGCAAATATTGGACTTGTGATCCTAGAACGAGTCTTCGAACACTTCGATCACAGGCGTTTACACCAAATCTTCGACATTCTCATGCATCCGCACCACAGAATTTCTCCTTCCACTTCGAAAAGATAAAAACACTGCAATAAGTCAATTCGTAGAATAACGTTCAAACTATACTACAAACTCATAACACCACTCGATCTATGCCACTTGGACTAAAGAAGATCAACAGGTAACCTGCCAATAGGGTATAGCACTTTACATAATTCAAGTCACTCGCTTTATTATTTGCCTAGTTTAAGCTTTGATAAGAATCTAATAGTGATCATTCAGAACTTTGAAATTGGACATAGTGGAACAGATATCAAGTATGACGTTTACTTCTTTAGAGTTGTAAAGGTTTAAGATGCTATTCCCGTAAAGGTTGTTAAGGTTGCATCATCGAAGTCCTTTAGACACAAACTCAAAGGTCACCTGTAGTTGGAGCGTGAGCTTACAGTCCAAATAACTGGTAACATGCTCCCATTTATTTATTCCTTGCCTGTATACCAATTATCTCAAACAAAGGAACTAGCGGTTCACTAATTCTAAACGCGAAAACTAGTCAGGCGAAGGCTTATCTAATTCTGTTAAAATCAATTTGAAACAGCATAATTAGCATAATTGTTGGCATTTAGTACCGAATAATGAAATAAAGCCCCCTTAAAAATATACACTAGTGATTCTAGAGCCAAAAAACTATCATACTGACAGCCATTTAGCTTGTCTCCTTCGAGTGATAGTGGAAAAAATAAGTTAGGAACTTATCACATATTTTTTTAGTGTAACGTGGACAAACATCGTCCATTATAGATTTAATATTCACATGTATAAATTGGTTCATAGAGAAAAACACTTTTCGTTCAATAATTATGTACTATTTTATAAGCACAGCCGCCCCACAGGAACAAAATTGAAGTTTTATTGACCTTTCATAAACATGGCTTTTAAACAATTAATGAGTGAGTAATTAATTGCCAAATGAATGCAAAGTCAGGAGGGGATTTTTATTCTCGTCTGTCGTTTCCATATTTACCACTCATTAATAATTTTATTTTGCAGACACATATCTTAAGAACTAGCTGATGTTCTAATTGCATGATAAATTAGCATTCTCGATACCGCACAAAACGTGACAACTGTGCTAAGTAGTTGACGATGCGAGTACGACAACAAGAATATCTGGTAGGGGGATAAAAAATGAGTGCTTTATATGAAAGTCATCCAATTTCCTCGACTAGACTAGATATAATCCAAACTGAGATAAAAGATGAAAACCAAAATGAAGCACCAGGTAAAATCAGGATCGGTCCCCTCTGGCAAAAGTTTTCCATAACTCTCATAAAGCTCATACCAGCAACTCTACAATCATACAAAAATAGTCATGGCATTGATAGCTTAATTAATGAGAAAGTGTTCAAGGGTTATTCAGATGCTCAATTAAAAGTGACTTACGTGGAACACAGAAGAAGTGGACTTTTGAAATCTTAAAAGAGCCATCTGTGCTAGTTCTCGAATCAAAATACTTCCATTTCCGCATGGAACAACTACTTTAACATCGTTAATGCAAACAGTCACTTTCATTTTCGGTTACAGTTTTGGACAATGGAATATCATTTGTCACATTTATTGGGAGCGAATTAAATATTTGACGACTTTCTGTCAAAGAAATGAAGCCAATGAAGTTGGATATACATGAATCATTTAAATAATCTGATGATGAATATAAGATCAATTACATATTTTTAGCATATTAGGATACCATAAGAGGTCAAATGGTGAGTTTGTGAAGTATTCTGCCGTTAACCAAAAATGTTTATTATCCCTCAGATCATACGACAAACAAAAATGCATTTATAAAATACGGTTACAAGCAACGGCCTAAGGAGTCCAACGAAAAAAGATGTATTTAATGCATTTAAAGTCTCTTGAGATTAAATGTAATGATAAGTAGCGCAAAAATCAGGGTGAATTTTAACATCCCAGAACAAAATATTAGTGTCATAGTATGCTTAATTTTAGGTCTTCAATATCAGTATCTAGCATCAGTAACGTATGCATTGAAACCTTATCTGATTTGAACTCTGGCACCTGTGATAATTTTCGCCACTGAATTTGGCAGAGAACTCCCTTCTGCCTATTTGCCTCCGATTTTAGGGAGGCGAGAGCTTTCTGCAAATTTGCACTTGAATTTGAGGGGTGTCTTGGTTTGGAAGCTACAGGCTATCGGGATGATAAGGCTCACTTTTGGAACTTCTCTCTGTACATAAACCTGGGTTAGAGCAGTAGAAGAGGTATGCCGGATGGCCTTGGGGACAAAGCGAATCTAGAATGAGAATAATTAGAACTCTAACATTTTTCGTCTGAGTCTCCTCAAGTTGCTTCAAAGACACTTGGAAGTGCTTCACACTACGTGAGATGTCCCGGGGTCAACTAACCGTACGGGTTAGGATGTGGCGGAGGTTTTCACTGACCGACTGGTTCCAATGTAACGGGCGCAGTTGGTTTTTTTCCCCGCCTCGACCGGTGCAGCAGGTGTTGGGTGCGGACTGCTAGTCTAACTCTTGAAGTGTCGGTGTAGGGTGATGACGATCTGGGCCCAAGAAGGAACTGCTGTTTGCCTTTGTCGCACAGTTCTGTGTCTGCTTTCGTGGCAGCCAACATCCCCACCTACGGTGCTCTTGAATTGACACCGCACCTCTAGCACTACAGCTAGAACTTCTGGGGATTCGAAGTTGACGGCCATTAGTCTAGGTGAGGCCATGCTTGTCAGGTGCGGAGGACACAATAGCCTACTGACTGCCACCGCTGCCACCCCACCTGGTAACAGCCGTGCCGATAACCACCCCTAACTGTCGGGCTTCGTGAGGGTACCTATCTCCTAGGGTACTGGTTGTCAGGCATTCCGTGGTGACCATGGTTGTGGAGTCGTGTAGATCAGGTGCTTCTCGTGATGCCTCATTGCAGCTCATGATCGGTCAGGTCCAGCTCTAATACTGGATGATCCGCTGATAACCAGCGCGTGTGAAAGTGAGGGGAACCGTCTGGCCTTTCTAGTAGAGCCTGGAGTTAACCCCATTGACCGAAGCTTCCCTGGGGGTGACTGAAGGCCTTTGTGTAGTTTTACCTCCCGGGTGCTTAGACCTACTGTTGCACACAAGGAGTCCGACCGCTCCCCGTCAACCATGTCCTTATGCTCCAAAGGACTGTCACTGCGTACAGGAATTTGTGACAGAGTGACAATTTTGTCGGAGGAGGATTAAATAATTCTGGTTGAGTTATAGTTAAAAATTAGAGGCCTATTAGCCGTTAATAGTATTTTTCTAACAGACCTCCATCCCCATCCAGCCATTTTTGATAGATTTAAGTGATTGCCCAGACACCGTTCCTTCTGTGAGCCAGTTCTAGGAGTTGGCTACTCGACGTGAAAGCCGGTGCTTTAAGGAGTAGACTCTCGTCCTCTACTTCCGTGCTTTCCTGCTATGCCCTTTGTGTATTCTGGCCTAGTGGGAAGGAGAGAAGTAGCACACACCACATTAAAAACCATTCCTTAAAATCCTTAATCGTGTGGTCCAGTTCCTCCCACACCTATGATAGTTTCAGTTTCTGAAGTTTTTCCTCCCAGGTCAGGCAAGCTGTCACTGGGATCACACTAGTAACAGCCTTCTGAATTCTTTCCAGAAGGTATGAGTCCTTTTGCAGATGAGAGTTTTTCACCCGTGCACAGCTTCCTTATTTGGATCTAACCAAGGATCTGCATGAGGTAGCGACTGTAACACCACATATTTTAGCAAGCTTTTTGCATAATGCCCGGTGCCCGAAACTCCAGGTACGGCCGACTTCAGTACACTGTGGTATTCAAATCACAGCTTGCTATGACTTCTGGGTGACTGTGGGTCGATAGTGAGGATGAAAGCGTCCCACAAATACCTAAGGTAACGCCGTGTGGGCTCATGCGCTTACTTACGTTGACGGACACAAGCCGTTCCTCTGACTAGGCCAAAAACGGTTTAGGTCCGTACATACATCCTTTTCACCCCAAATTTCCTGCCAGATTTTTGAACAAGTTTGGAGATCCGAGGGGGCTTTCATGATCTTCGGCAGTTCGTTTAAGTCAAGGAAAAATAGCTCAGGTCTGAGGACTAAACACAACGACGCTCCAATGTGTACTGACCGCCTAAGGAGGGGGTTAAGAGCCGATTCCTATTCCTTCTCTCCAACTAGCAAAGAACTCCCTGATCCATGAAGTAGAGGTTAACAGTAACTCTTGAGCCCCCGCTATCATCAGCAATGTGGAGTGTGGCATCTCGTCGAAAAGCTAGCTGATGACTCTGAAAATGACGTCCACAGGTATTCGATCATCCTTGGACTTAAACTAGTTTTCCCTGACTCCGAGAAGGTTTGTTAAGCAAACAAAAACTTCCCCGAAAGCCGTGTTGCAAATAGAAAGGTAGACTGGTGCTTTCTGGGAGAAGGCTAACAGCCTACTCGATTATTCTTACCAAGAGCTTGCCCAAAGAGCTGATCAGTCTTGCCGGTCTAACATCCAAGGAGTACTGTCTAGAATCAGTGTGGTTTTGGCATCCTTTCTGTCACGTAGAAGTGTGCCTTCTCAGAGTAGCTCTAAATACATGAGTCAGGGAGCCAGATATGTAGAGAGCAAGCCCTCCAAGTATCCTTGAGTGTGGTCCACCCCGCTGACGTTTCCATATTCACTGTGTCTGACATATTTACCAAGTTATCCGGGTGGATATCCATTGCCAATGCTTCTGGTGTTGAAGCGACGGCCATCAGAGGTTCCTGGATAAAGATCTTGGCAAAATAATTGGCCGTGGCCTCTGCTTTGTCCCGGTCGCCCTAGGCTTCCAGGTTATTTTCTGCCTCTCCAATTTAAGTGGGTGTATCACAACTCGTTCTGTTCCTATTGTGTATATTTGAGGGTGACTTCATTGCGTATTTCACTACAGTCCGGGCGAGATGCATGCCAAAGCCTATTCGGGAGAGGCAGGTAGCAACGAAGAATATATTGCAGGCTACCCTTTACTGTTTCATCACCTCCAGAGTGTCGAGGTGAGTGGCAGGGCCGCAAAGCTTTCTTTCGGCAGGTTGAACCTCGGATTTTACTGTTTACCCAGGGGTGACAGTGATCTCTTCCATCTGAGATTAATCATGGAACTGATGATTCAGACACTCAGTTGCATAAATGTTTGAAGGAGTACCATAAGGCCTCAACTCAGGCTTCCGAGCCAATGGTCCAGTCCTTCAAAGGTGCCGATCGGTTAGTAACTGATAATGGTGCTCCTGGGGTCTCAGGCTGACATGAGATGGCTACTCTAAGTCTGAACACTACCAAAGTATGACTACTTTTACCAAGGGATGGCAGTAGATGGATGTAGCTTACAACATTGGCGTGACAGAATACTAGGCCTGGAACTGATGCAGCGGCCTGACAATCACTTTGGGTTGCTGCACCGATGAATTGTACGGGGACAAGGGAAATCGACGTTTCCTTTGGCTCATGCTCCAAACATTTGGACGATCCTTTTCTTGTTAGGCTATCCTAGCAAAATGATGGTGTGCTGAAGTACTGCACAACCAAATACCTGTATTTATCCGTCGGTAGAATCAGATTGTTCGGGAACAAGTCTTCTACGCCACATTCAGCACACGTACATTTCTCAACTAGCTGGACATCATGTCCACTGCCTTTCAGTTGGCACCCCAGCACTTCACAGGCATCATACTCGTGCGTAACCATTTTTGTGCTTCTTATGAAATAACATTATCTTTGATACATGTAAATCAGTGTCGCCAAAGACGGAGGGATCCTTGTGGACGTGTCTCACTCTCACTAATCTCAGAAAGGGCCCAAGTTCCTAAGACTGTAATCAGTTCAAGGCTCCATATACTTCGTTCGTTCGAAATGGAGGTTTCAGCATAATTTGTTCATGAGGCCTCACATAGCTGAAGACCTTGGGATTTTCACAGCTTCCAGTGTGGTGCAGTACTGAAGCTCTGTCAGCAGCTCAGGCAGATTTAAATAATCTACTTGAGTGGAGTCAGAAGTGGTAACTGGTATTCAACCATGAAAAATGTGGAATTCTATACCGCGGAAAGTATTATCCCAGCAGCACGCTATCCTTGGGAGATCATGTGATTCAGATACTCGGTGAGGCATGGGACCTTAGCGTTCGATATTCTGGTAGCCTTAACTTCAATGGGCGTGTCACAGCTATCGTCCTCAAAGCTAGAAAATTGTCAGGTTTCCATCTGAAAAGCTTCGACACAAAAGAGGCGAAACTTTCTCTTTTTAAGTTTTGTGTTAGACTGGTATTGGAATATGGCTCGTTCATTTTTTGGCATGAACAAGAGTGACAAATCATGACTTGAATAGGTCCAGAGGAGTTTCGCCAGACGATTACTGAGCTGCACCGGTAATGTAGACTACACAGATGGATACGCCATACTGTCTACCTAACCGCTATGGAAACGGCGTCTAAGAAACAATTGAGCTGTGTTGTACAGAACTCTGAATGGTCTGTTATGCTGTTCCCCCCTACCCGCTTGGAGATATGTACCGCCAT